GAGTCTGTACTGCTTTGGATTATAAGTACATGTAATTAAAGTATAATACATAATCTCATTCCAACCATATTCTTGTAGTGTATATTTATGTTTTTGAATATTAAATGGTAACATTGATGTGCCTTGTAGGCTCTCTACTGTACAGGGTATATGAGGACTTGAGAACGAAAAAAGGTCCAGACAGTATGAACCTTGTGTGGATCAAGCTGTACACATGGTACATGTAGGTCCATGCAAGGTGTTTTTTCCTTCACTGAAGAACAGGCTTAGAGGCATTTTTAGGTCAGGGTTATATGGAACAAGTTGAAGAGGAAAAGTCAAGGAAACTGTCAACAAAATCCAGCTTGAAATAATGCCTGCTGTTTAAGAAAAATGGGTAATTTTACTGAGTTCCCTTACTTACACAACAAAAAAGGAATGTCCACACACAGTACATATACATGTATATACCTGTGTGTACATTTACATGTATGACTGAAGAAGAGGTACACATGTATTTCCAGGACATGCACTCACTGATTCATGTGCAGCAAGGCCTAGAAATGACAAATCAGCAAAAGAAAGTCAGATTAGTACTCTTTCTTATCCCCGATCATCTTACTCCTGAAAGTTTAAGTTGCTGCAGATTTCAACAATGTCAGCAAATTATTTAAACTGTGTGACCTATCCTACACGTTCTATTCAGCAGCACCAGGTTATTGAATCACAAAAAGGTTGTTTCGAATCCGTCATAATCCTCATCAGTGTATTACCGGTTGATTTAACTTTCCTTATCTCCAGCCGAAGAGCTTCCGTTGACGACTGTCTGAACCACATCTGGATCAAGGTAATGCATTTTTATGATTGCCTCTCTTTTTTTTTTTAAATGTGGGAATATTAGCGTTGGTCTGTGGTCATGCTGTGTAATGCATCTCTGAGGAGACTGTTGTCTCTTCAAGGAGCTGGGAACATTTCAGCTGTACTCTAGTCGTCGTCAGAAGACAGCCTGCTGACGACAAGTCGAGACATCAAGAAAAATGTCTGGCACCACATGAAGACAGCTATAATTCCCCAGAGGCTCATATTGCGTTCACATACTTGATATGGTAGGAAAACTAATAGCTAGACAGCATTTGTTCAGGAAAAACTGACATTTTGGACCATACCAGACCTCTTGCAGTCTCTCATTAAATATAAGCATGGACCCATGTTCTTTAAATTCCTCCATATTGCTAAACGATACAACTGAAAATGACATATATGTATTTATGACCCACTTACTCTTTGGCCTGAGCTTTAAAGCGTGAGTTTGCTGGTCTATTTGCCATCAAGTCTGGCTCCTGCACTTGCATGTGGCATCCACTGTCAGAGGCTGCGTCCAAATCTATTGTTTAAAGCTAGGTCTAGGTCTTCGCTCCATTGGAAATGTGTGGAGACGCTTAGACGATAGACCTAGCCGTAGCCCTGGAAGCCGGTTTTGGACACGGCCAGAGTCTCTGCGGTAATCAGCCATTCCGTGTCAGGACATTGTTTCCACGTTTGAAATAATTAATTCACACATTCTACTTACATGTATTTGAAAACCTGAGGGGTAAAATGTGTTTCCATGATTGTAACCGAAGAAGTGGAAAGAAAAAATCTCTACACTCTGATCCATGTTTTCAACCAGGAGTTTTCAAACCTTTTTATGTTTACCAGTTTCACTTCTGATCTAATTACATTAAATGGATCCCTCAGCTCTGACCTATATGAACAGAGAAATGATGGATGGGCCATTAGTCATAACTCTATAAATATTTTTTGCTGTACTTGTTAAATTGTTAGGACCACAAGAGGGCAGTGTTCATTGATGATTGAATGGAGAACAGTGCCAGCACATGAGCCCATGGGATGCTGTACTGTTCTAGTCGAACACAAATCAGTTCACTGGAGTGGATCTGTTGCAGTGTAATTCATTGCTCTAAGCCCATTATGTTATTGTTGTCATCATTCATCTCTCCATTTACTAATTAAACACATGCACTTACCACATAAAGTAAGCTTCAAGTTCCATCCATTCATCATTATTTTTAGGGGGACATATCATTGGCATTGTTGATATGGTCATTCTATGTGTTTGAGGTCCCATGTTTCAGTTTGGAACACGTTCTTTAGTTTCCAAAAGTGATTCTGTAATGCATATGTCCTGCCAACTAAAGGGTAAAATATAGTCCGCAATCAGTTTTAATGATGTACATGCATTCATGTCAAATTGCACAAGTCAGGTGTTACAGGGACATTAAACATGTCACACTTTTGGGACCCCAAATTTATAGAATGACCCTTATTATGTACTTTGCAGGCTGACTGCTCAAACTTTGCAGTATGTTAATACAATTACACTCCTGAATGCATGAATGGCAGGAGTGTACCCATTGTCGAGCAAGAGCATAGTCACATTTAGGCTGGGAGTATACTCCCACATCAAGTGGTCTTTTAAATTGTGGTAAAAAGGGAAACATTGTCCATTTGCTTAATATCATCAGAGAGAAATGCATGTGAAACATTTTCTCGCACCCTGATTATCGAGAGTAAAACGCAAACACAGTGCAATATTTCGACCCAAGCTGCAAATCGAAATGAGCGGAAATTAACCTCATCCCAAACGATGGACATTAAAGATGGTTTGCCTTTTTTTTTCAGCCGTCCAATAAGATACAGCGACAACTCCGAGACAGCTCGCATGTTAATACAGAGAACCTGAGACGATTCAATGCCAAGAAAAGGTGGAAGGTACAACGCTAATGCTTTCTTTTTTTGGCTTCGTGCATTGGCCCATCAGTGCCTTTAATGCTTCTCTTAATACCCAAGCTAAATCGTGCTTTGAAATGTACATGTACGTTTCAATGTAGGGCTTTGATATGATTGGTCTTGCCATCAACAAAAGAGACTGGGTTGTGTTATAAGTACAGTATTTATTTGACATGATTTTTAGAAATCAAAAGCACTGTGTTGATTGAAACTGCAAGGCGGTTTTCTACTACCTTGATTTTGAGCAATGTTGTCGATGGAATAATGGAAAGATATAAATACAGGCTGTCCTTTTCCCAGATGTAAATGCAAGCTGTCCTCTTCCCAGTGGGAGAGTGTTTGGCCAATTTTTGTCACACAACTCACAATACTGCAGATGGATTTATTGCGCCCCTCTGCCAAGCAGCACAACAGTCCCAGTTGGGAAAGAAATAACCATTTCCCTTTAAAGGTCTTTGAAAGTAACTTTCAGTATTTGAGGCAATGAACCCCCTCCACCCATCCAAGTCAAGCCTCTTTTGTGTCTGCAACATTTTTTCGTGTAAACCATGAGTTAGTCAATGCTAGCTAATCTTGAGTAGATCTGCTGAAATTTTTGGTTTGTCTCACGATTTTTATGCAATCCGAACTTCAGGCTGTACATTTTTTTCAACTGCTATTTGTTCTCTACAGCAATCAATGAAGGTGGTCTCAATATGCTGCCGACTCTCAAAAAATGCCAAAATCCGCAGCACCACAGGCAATCTGGACGGGGTGAGTCTCTGTAGTTGCGCTTGCTTTTCTGCTGTGTGTATCGGCCCTTTCATTACTATATGGTATCATGTGCGCAAGGTGATTCGCCACCATCAGATCCTTGGATTATTCATCTCAGAGGGAAGAACCTAGTTTTACAAAACAGCGTTGCTTTATTTCTTCTGCATGATGAAGACAGTTTGACCCGCAGTTTGACCCACATTTTTTTAAACAAGTATTTCGGATGTGGTTATTAGTTTGAAATGAAATTGGTTGCTAGCAATCGCTGGAATTTTTCTGGCTTGGGCTCCTGACATGTGTAATCTTGAGGTTCACTTTGCAGAGCCAACCGATCTGTATGGTATTGAAAGGGTCAGCAGTCCATTTCATTCACTGTGCTTCAAAGTCATCTACCATTCACGCTGCGGTCATTGTGGAGCTCGGGCGAGTTGATTGGGCCAGTTTGGTCTTTCAAACAGGCGAGGTCATTGGAGAACAAAGCATACACGGGCATCTGCGTATGGCCGAGCTGATTAGGAAGACCTTGCTCGTGCATATCGCTGTTCCAAAATGACCTCGGATGCGTGTCATTTTGGGCAAGCATGGTTGGAATACCAAATTGGCTCATTGGAGAGTGAAGTGCTGTATGTCATAATACAGCACAGTTGTGTTGGCTCCCTGTTTACAGTCTGAAGGCACTTTTATATAATTGATTTTCGTCAATTTTTTCCTGGATTTTATTTGTGCAAATGGTAGTCTTCTTATTATCTTGTTCTGCTCCATTTTCCATGAGTAACAGAATTCCGTAGCGAGACTTTTGTTTTTTGTATTTGACTATTTCGATTTAAAATTTTCACCATATTTGGCACAAACAAATGGAGCCCAGCTTTCAAGTTTATCCTGAGATTTTTAATAATAATCCCAAAAAGAAAATTCAGTGCAAAAACTGCAAGATGAAGTGCAGTCCAGTCTGATGCTCATCAACACGCCAAATCATTCACTTTCATCATTGACATGTAGACCATGTACTGGTTCATGTGGCTTTTTAGGGCGAGCCTTGAAATCAGTGATGTACGGTATCCTATTGGGCACACACTTCTAAAGAATCCACTTTTCAAACTAATAAGGCTAGTGTGCAAATGTGTGGCTGTTTGGTTTCAACTAGTTGAAATTTAAAAGTGGTCTTTGATGGAATCCTTGATACATATTACGCACCTTTTTCCTGCACATGCACTACGTGTGGAGATTTTTTCACATGCTGTACACATGTAAGGATAAAATCTTAAGAATGGTTTTCCTGTGCGGGAAAAGAATTGCTTGGGTACGGTGAACTTCATATTGAGGCATTAGTGTGAATTACATGTCGCTTGACACATATACTTGGAGATTGTAATGGGACATACATGTACCAGTATTTGTAGGTGGAGAGCATTACTATAATTATGTTACCGTTGAGTTGTTGAACTTACGTCACTACTTTGATGCGGTTGGAGCCTCTTGATACCGAGGGTACCATTTGGCATTGCAGCCAGAAACATGTAATTGAGATTTCTCCCGCTGTGTTCTCCCCTGTCTGTGACTCATCACCTTGCTTCTTACCACGCCCTGTTAGATCCCAATATAGAATGTTCTCTTCTAAATGTACATGTTTATACCTGGACACATTGCCCAATGTTTCCTCCAGTTGTTCCAAAAGAATCATCCAGTTTCATCCCAGAGCGCCAGCATCCTGCGCAAAGCCAAACACTCCCTTGCGGGATCAGTAGTAGCACGCAGCAATACGTCTGTCCACGCCGCTGGTGTAAGTCACTGCAGTATTTGTTTCCCAGCTTGTTTGATTAATTGTTGTTTGCCTTGAGTGAACTGCATGAGCAAGAACAGCAAGTGGCATGCCAGCGAGTCGTGTGAAAGACTCAGATCGCTTCAGAAAAGTAACCAGCTCAGAAACTCTCTGCATGTAGGTGAGTGTGAGCTTTATACAGCAGGTGAAACTCCACCATTGAGGTCTCTCAAATCAATCACCTTGGTGTTGGCTGTTGACTTAGAAATGTAGAGACACCACCTTGTAGTGAAGCCCCTGATGAAGCTAAGGTGGTTCCTCAGATGACTCTCTGAGTAGGACCCTGTTAATCATCTGTATGAGGGGGGAGTTGGGGTACCTGAGAAATAGGCTGGACCGACTTCTTCGTACTCCTGGGGATGAGATCATGGTGTGCTTCTTGTGTTTCCAAGAAACAGCAGTTTTTTTCCATGGAAATAGTCAGCAGTATTCTTCAGCACCAGAAGGAGCATGCTATCAAACACCATTTGCTTCTTAATTCTTGTGATGCAAAGATGGAATTTCCAGTTCCAGCGTTGCTAAAGAGCTTGCCCCTTTTGTCCGAGTTTTATGTCACGCAGTGTGTGTAATAAACATGGTACAATGTCGTATACGATGGGGGAGGGGCTTGTTCTATTTTTTGAGGGGGGGGTTGAGTGAATCCACCATCAGACATATCCCATTCTGCTTCTCAGGCCAGACATAGTCAGGCACCCTTTATGTTAACATTAAACTGTGAAAGATGTAATCCCACATGTTTTGTTTGTTTGGTTGAAGTGCTGTAAATGTCATCCCACGTGTTAGCAAACAACACGTACAATTTGGCCTTGGGTAAATAAAGTGGATTAGCGTGCAGTGCTATCACTGACGTAGATTTTTATGCCGGGCAAACCCAGGCAAGTCCAATCACAGAAGAAGCTCTTCCAGTCTACACTGCTGAACCCAAAGCTGCAGTAACATTGTTGGGGGAAAGAACATGCACAACCATCTACTGCCGTATTTTCATATAGAAATACACTTTTTCCCCCACTACAATACAATAAACTGTACGTAGGATGTCCCTGTTGGTTTACTGAACCAGTCGTAGCCAACACTAGCATGACATTTTGCTTGCACCTGGGCGTCTTCCTGTCTGTAGATTGTGAACGTGATTGTTTCAAGATCAGTCCTATTCTGCATAAAAATACTACTTAGTACTTGACCATTAATACTTGTCTGCAAAGATACCTTTTCAAGATGGATAAAAAGCTGCATGTAAGAGACTTTTTTTGGTCACTCTGACTCTCTTTTATTCGTGTATGGAAGCAGGCTTTTTTACTCTGCTCATGCATGCAGTTCATTCTCACAATGTTTTTGCCGATAAAATAGATGATAGTCGGAGCAGCTAAGTCATTGTAGATTATCAGACACGTACCCTAAGGGCCCTTCACTTTTAAGTAATAGGGTGTTGTGCATTAAGAGTAAATCCCACCCGTGGCCAGCACGGCGCCACAGATATTCATAAAAAGAAATCATGGAACGGTAATCACCATAGTTACGGGCCCTTAACTTTCTCAAAGGATAGAGAACGAAAGGCGGCGGAGTGGAGAGGAGTCTGGAGAGTATCCCTTGTGGCATCACTCTGTCTTGCCGAGGCTGCCTGCAGAAATGTCATTCAGACAACAAGGTCTTTTCTCTTCCATCATCAGCTCGGCCCCGTGCCTTCTTTGCACAAATGCAATCCTTTGATAAATGCCAGTGTGAAGCCACTGTTACATCTTGTGCAGTGAGCACCTGTTGCCCCACATCCGTGCCAGAAAGAGTGCCGTAGGGAAACATCACAGCAAATCGTGTCTTTGTTTGGAATGCAAGGAAAATAAAAATAATGTACGTGTATTTCTGTAGGACCTTTGTTCTACAAGATGCAGACGGCAAAAGAACATAAAGGATGCAGTAAGAACACACTCATCTTGCCTGACCAGGAATTCCACCTACCGGTAGTGAGCAAAACCATTTTACAGGGATCAGACTGTCGGCAAACTAGGCACTGCTTGGATAAAGCATCCACATCAAGATTCTAATTCTTAGATGTGCTTCCCTTTTCAGTTCTGCTTGGGTGAATCAAGATTAACTTGAAATGCGATCTTTGCCATCGACACATTGTGCATGCAATTTTGTCTCTGAAATACAGCATGAAAGCTGCTATTTTTGGAAGACTTTTTTAGTGTGTGGATATCTGACTCCGTGTACATGTGGTTCCTCACGACTGCTTTCCTGAGATGGCAACTGGTTGATACCCTTCTCAAGTTCATTTTAATGTTCCAGCGTAACTAACCAGGTACATGTACTTTACATTTTCTGAATCCATGTTTGTTTATTCTTTTTTAAAAATGAGTAGGCCTACAGTGTAGTAAACAGATAAAATGAAACTATGTGAACAAGCACATCAGTAAATCAAACAAGGCTCAAGATCTTTGATGTATTTTTTTAAACACTATACTGACAAGTTCAACAATAAGGGCTTTTTTGTATCCACTCTGAGCAGAGCAAAAGAGGGCATTTTTTTTAGTGCTCACCGCATAGGCGCGCCATGAGGCGCGCAAGTATATGTGCGTTTGATGCAGAGCATGCTGAGTACGCGTCACTAATTTATTCTGGCTTGTATGGTCTTTGCATACATGCAGAACGCATGCAAGAACCTGCTTGTAGCCAGCTGTCTTTCTTTTGCTGATTGGGGGTGCACTTCAACTCGGGACGGATATCAGCGCGGTGCTGGTACATGTAGGTAGTTGTTGAAAGACTAAACCCTAACCCCCTAGGGACCATTGAAATCCTGCATAACCTTGTTGGGTTCAGCATGGTTTAAATATCAAAGAGAAAGCATGCCATGTGAGGCTTACTCAGAGTAGGCTTGAATGTGCCAGAAGAGAGAATATCCAAATGTCTGCCAACATCTAGCAGTCACCTCCATTTACAATGTATACGTGTACAGCTCATGATAGGTTTGCATTCATTTCATGGTTGTGAGGTATTTGAGTCACCAAAACCATCAATTTGCTTTGTGGCATTAAACAGGTCATGGAACCCCCATATGTGTACATAGTCCTTACATATTGAATAAGTACACCACACATTTTTTCATGACAGTGTTCTGTTTGTCATCACATGAGAAACATTGAAAGTTGAGTGTTATATGTGAACTTTATTAAATGAATATCTCGGT